GTGGGCCTTGGCGAAGATGATGTCGATCTCCTCGAGGTCGCGGCCGGCGGTCTCGGCGTAGAAGTACCAGGCGAAGGGGATGGCGACGAAGTTGATCAGGGCGAAGAACAGGTAGATACCCCACGAGCTGGAGGAGGAGAAAACGGGGGTGAACATGACGACGGCGAAGTTACAGATCCAGTTGGTGCAGGTCGAGGCGGCGGCGGCCATGGTACGGGTGCGCAGGGGGTTGATCTCGGGGGGGTAGATCCAGGGCAGGGGCAGGGTCGTGAAGGCGAAGAAGACGATGAAGAGGAAGATACCCACGACCGCACCCTTGGAGTTGGACGTGGTGTCGTCGATCAGGCAGCCCATGGTGATGATGAAACTCAGCCCCTGGCCCAGGAAACCGATGAGGAACAGGTTGCGGCGACCGACCTTCTCGATCATGAAGAAGGAGGGGATGGTGGCCAGCGCGTAGACGGTGGCGAAGACACCACCCAGCACCAGGGAGAGACGGTGCTCCATCTGCAGGTTGGTTTCGAACAGCAGGGTCGAGTAGTAGATGGCAGCATTGCAACCAGTGAACTGCTGGAAGAACTGGCCCGAGCATCCGATCATCATGCGCTGGAACTCCTGGGTCTTGCCGAAGGTGAACAGCGTCTTGAAGCTGGCCTTGTTGTCCTGGGTGGCCTTGAGATCCGCCTTCATGAGGTTGTAGTCCGCCAAAACCTCGTCGGAGTCGGGGGAGAGGTCGTTCAGCGCGGCCAACACCTCGCGCGCCTCCTGGTCGTGACCGCGCATGACGAACCAGCGAGGGGACTCGGGGAGCATCAGGGCACCGACGGTGACCAGCACGGCGAAGATGATCTGGAAGGCAACGGGGAAGCGCCACTGCACCGAGGTGTCGACATACGAGAGACCGAAATCGAGCCAGTAGGCGACGAAAGTACCGACGGCGATGATGGCACCCTCGAAGCAGACCAGGAAACCACGGTTGTGGGCTTTCGAGCATTCCGACTGCCAGACGGGGATGGTGGCAGTGTCCATGCCGTTACCCAAGCCCGAGATGACACGACCCACGACGAACTGGCCCAGACCCCATTTGTCTCCGTAGGAGGCAGTGGAGATGACCGCGCCGACAGTCATGATGACACCACCCGCAACCAACAGAGGAGTCCGACCAATGCGCTCACCGAAGCAGAGAGTGAAGATGGCACCGAAGAAACAACCGATCTCGTAACAGGCGGTGACGGCACCACGAAGGACAGAGACGTGGTTCTCATCCTTGCCAGCGCCGGTAGCCAGGGCAGGAAACTCAGACGTAAACTGATCACCCGAGATGATACCGGACATCAGACCCTGATCATAACCGAAAAGTGAGAAACCGAGGACGGAGACGATGGTGATGGCCAAGCGAAGCTTGCGGCCCCGCAAGCCACATGTTGTTGTCCACATGTTGACTTAAGGCGATCGATCTTCTTCTTTCAAAACGGATACCAATCAATGAAGAATGTTGGTATGCGTGACAGGTGAAAGAAAGGGAGAGAAGGGGAAGGGAGGGGGGGGGGGCAAGAAGGAAGGGATCTCCCAACCAGGGCAAGGA